TAGATGATGATAAATAACATAGTTATGTATAATATATTACATTTCTGACTGTATATCCCTGTAATTATTACACACTGTAGCTTTAATTTACCTAATGAACTTGAGCTAGTTTCATTACATAACATTTATAGGTTTGTGAACTTGTGAAAAAGTGAACTATGAACGTGAGCGAGTTTGTTTTAATTTTAATTAGGCGGCACAACATTGGCTGATGAAATAGTAGTTAAACTAGGCAACTGGCAGGTATACAGAGCCTTAAGTGCAAACCCATGAGCTGTTAAGTAAGAATTGTGGGAAAATGTTACCACATAAATACAACGAACCAATATTGCTCATGATACAGCCTCACATTATGGTTCCCCTATGTCACTACTGAAGAGGCCAAAAGCAACAACCAAAGAAACACGGAGGGCGTTCTGACCCCCCTACGGTCACAGGGCTCTGTTTGTTCAGAGCGCCAACAGTGAGCAGAGCAGCTAGAGCGCTTCCTTTGAAAAATAGCTCTTAGGTTTTTTTTTTTTAAAGACAACAAACATAACAAGGAAGAAGATGAACAATAATAAAAAAATAGGTAATTCCACTTCTCTCTGCTGTCTTCATTAACATGAAAAGATCATAGTCTAAAGGTAAAAAGCAGGTTATAACATCATTACTATTACACTGAGACGTGCTTAATTTAGTTTTTCTGTTTCACTTTTTTTAAAATCCATAACCAGCTTCATAACCTGGTCAAACTTTCTCACCTTATAGACTTTCACTGCGGTCTAAACAATGCAAAACTATCTAAGAAACAAACCACTTTAAAGACGAATAAATGAGAAGGTTATGTTATCAAATAATTTTTTATTTTTACTAAAGGTTTGGATTTAGAATGATTTAAAATATCCAGCTTTATTTGTTCCAGATTTTTTTCATATATACATTTAGGTACTAAAAAATATATATTTATGATCCATGTGTTCTAAAATACGTTAGAAAAGCAAAGGCTTTTCATACCCTGCTTTTTCCCTGAGTTAAATGTTTTTTTCTTTTTTTTTACACCTCAGACAACCAAGATGCACAATAACAATCCTTCAAATTAAAAGGCTTTTTAATATTTTATTGTCCAATAAGGTTGGAACTAAAATTGATCCAAATATTTGTTTAGGATAAATAGAATAATTAATACAATGCATCATGTAGACATTGGTGTTTAGGCTAAATCTGGTTGGTCTGTCATAATCTTGATTTAGTCCAGAAATAGTTATTGAGAATTGGGCTGTTTGGTCGGTCTGATTTGGTCCAACTTTAGTCCAATAATAAATGATGAAAAGACGTCTTCAACGTCTTTTCAATGAGCTGAAAATTATGGCTTTTCAACCAAATGCAGGCATGGTTTGGATGTAAATCATGTCGTCACATCAACCAGTTTTTGACCTCTGAAGAAGTTAGTCAATGGCCAAAAGAAGATCCACTGAATTTTTAGCTCTGCAGCCCAGCATCTATAAAACGCACAGCACCTTTGTTTCTCCATTCAAACTTCATGTACAGACAGATATAAAAACAAACACATACACATGAGTCTATTGACCAGTATTTGTCACTTGCTATAAATTTAGCTGGGAGCAAGTGAGAGGCTTCAAGTTGGCGGCGCTCAGGCTTTTCTAGCTGCAAGTGTTAGACCAGCTAGTGTTCACTCGACTTTGTCAATCCGCTGTCAACTTGTAGCTCTGAGACATATCCTCTCTAACGCAGAGGAGACAGGCCTACTGCCGCCCACCCCCTTCTCTACCGCCTGCTGCCCACCTCCCGATGTGGAGCCACCAGGAAATGGCCTCCACCCGCCACCCCCACCCACCCAACTATCTCCTGACAAAAGCCTGCTTGGCCTTTCCATCATTCATCTGACAGCAAAAAGAAGACAGCTGTGCTGCTTCTCTTTTTCTCACTCCACACACACACACACACACACACACGGTTTGTAAAAAAATAAAACGTTGGATCCATAAATCAGCTCTCACGAGGAAGGAGGATTTCTCTTTTTTAAACAGTTCTTTTTTAAAATGGAATCATGTTTTTTTTTTTGTCTTTATCAAAATTTACTAAAAACATTCCCATATTTTAAACAAACACATTTGCTTTTACTGTTGCCGTTTGAAACGGCACAAGCGGTCGCTCATACCTCAGTGAGATGTAGTCAAACCTCTGACTTGCGTAGATGAATTAATCATATTGAAGAAGCACTCAAATGTTTAATCACAAATACGTGATAAATATGGATATTATATCAGGTTTCATCACATTGCAAAAAGTATTTTTTTCTGAAAATAAATGCATTTTGTCCTGAACTGAAGACGTAAGTGAGAGACTTTGCCAGTGGAAAAAGACTATTTACATTTAAAATAAGAAAATAAAAACATTGCAGCCTTATTTCAAGTGCATATTATCTTATTTTAAGAGTAAATAACCTAATTTGATTTTGCTCAAATTAAGGGTAAATACACTTACTTTAAGACATTTTTAGATATTATTGCTTTTGCAGCACTCTATCTCATCTAATTCAGGAAGGGAGATGTCACAAGTAAAATGCTCCCAAAATACAGAAAATACAAAGTCACACAACAATTATAAAATAGCAATATTATACTGTTCTTTGTAAGCAGTTTCGTTTATAATGTCTCTAAAGTGAATTAAAATGATCTGAATGTACCTACCTGGACCAAGACAAAGAATCTCTTCTTCCATCTCTTCCACACATTTTTGCCAATAGCCCAAAGATACCTGTAGCCAGAAAAAAGAA